TTGCAGGACCTTGGAGTAGTCAATGGTTTCTTAGATATGACACCAAAAACACACTCATTCAAAGAATAGATAAACTCAAAGATATCAAAATGAACAACTTTGGTGTGGGTTGCAAATCATATCAAGACAAGCTAAAGAACAAAAGAAAATATTTTCAAATTATATATCTGACAAGGGACTGATACCCAGAATATACAAACAACTCTTACAACTCAAGAATAAAAAGACAACCTAATTTAAAAAATGGACAAATGATCTAAATAGACATTTCTCCAAACAAGATAGACCAATGACCAATAAGCACATGAAGAGATATTCAACATTATTAGCTATTAGGGAAATGCAAATCAAAACCACCATGAGATACCACTTCACATCCACTAGGAAGGCTAAATAAAAAGGATACCAGCAAGTGTTGATGAGCATATAGAGAACAGAAACCCTCACATATATATTGCTGGCGGAAATGTAAACAGCATTGCCACTTTTGAAAACAGTCTGCAGTCCCTCAAAAAGTTAAGGATAGAGTTACCTATGATCCTGCAATTCCACTCCTACTTATATATCCAAGAAAATGAAAACACACATCTACCTCAAAACTCCAATATGAATGTTCATAGCAGCATTATTCCTAGTAGCCAAAAAGTGGAAACAACCCATAGTCCACCAAATGATGATGGATAAATCCACAGTGGACAGCAGGGCTAAAGACAGCAGGTACTTGGGGTCCCAGGACCTCAAACAGTAGGTGCAGAGGACAGAAATTTAGCTTCTTCGAATAAAATGCAAAGAGACAATAGCCAGGCTCTCTGAGGTCTATAAATGGGCATCTGCCCATGAAGCAAGTGCTGGTGAAATGCCTTACAGCTAATTCAGAAATGCACTTAGGCATAAAGTCTTGCCCAGGGCAGAGGTAAGCATCAGAAAGACCTCTGCCACAGGGCTTAGGCCCTGAGTAGACCCAGGGGACTGGAACTCAACTTCCTCAAGGGACGCAATTACTCTACCTTCTAATATACAAGTAAGCTCTGACACGTGGATCCCCGGGTGCCAGGCTAAGGCAGAATTGCTCCAAAGGGAGAAACCATGACGGGAAGTAAACACAAAAAGTAAGCCCTGGCCAGCGTGGCTCAGCTGGATGAGCGTCATCCTGTGTCCCGGAGGGGTATGGGTTCGATTCCTGGACAGGGGAACTGCAGAAGGCAGCTGATCTCTGTTTCTCTCTCACATCAATGCTTCTTTCTCTCCCTTCCTCTCTCTCTAAAATCAATTAAAACATCAAATATATGTATAGATATAGATATACCTATATATCTATATCTATATCTATCTATCTATCTATCTATATATATATATATTTGGCTATCTAATGACAACAATATTTCTTTTTCAAACTGTTTTTTATCAAAGTAAATTGAGTTGAATATGTAATAATTATTAAAAAATACCTTAGGCTTAATTTGAAAAATGATAGGGCAAATAACGTTTAATTCCAAAGTAACTAACTTTAAAAAAACCTACTGTTGAATTTTTCATTTCTCAGGTTCTTAATTCAAAAACCAATTAATATTAGAATTTCCTTTCATAAAATCCTAAAGATTGGCTAAGATGGAATTCCAAAATCTTACATATTTTCAACTAAAGAATATACTTGGTAGTTTCACTCAAATGTTTTCAAAAGCCTGTGTGTTAGTCTAAAACATTTAACAAATTTGCTACTAAAATAATAGGGCATGAATGTAATCACAAAACGAGATAACCAGCCGTGTCAATAAATGCCCCCAAGGAAATGTGTTTTAAAAACAAACATAATTTCTGAGATTTAATACATAAAAGGACATTTTTCTTCTCCTCCTTTCTGCATCTCAATTCTTATTTTCATGGAGAACTTCTACTAACCTTTATATACGCACTTGGGTAGATCTTATGAACAGCATCTCCAGGTGCACGCCCAGCTTCTCTGTCTAAGTAGTAACTCTGTACAAAGACTGCATGGTCACTGAGGCACCTGACCCAAACATCACCTTCACCTTTACATTCCAATTGTACACCTTTGCCTATGTGCAACCTTAGGGAGAAAAAGGAAATTATATTTTATTTTTATAAGTATTAAAAAATACTATTAGAATACCCAATATTGAAAAATTAAAAAGAATTAAAAAGGACTTTATGTAACACCACAACCAAAAGATCACCATTGTTAATTTTTTGTATATTTACTTTCTTTTTAAATATCTTGTTCATATATACAAATGATGGGCATATATATAATGCTTAGTATGTATCAGAAATATTTAACATAAATTCTCACTGAACTCTCATAATTCCATGACCTAAATATTAGTATTTTATAAATGACTAAACTAAGGCTTATAGCTACACTGTCCAAACTGATAGCCACTAGCTACTTACTATAAGTGACTATTCAATTAATTAAAAATAATATGAAAATTAAGCTAATCACATGACTACATTTTAAGTGCTCAAAGTTACACATGGCTAGTGGCTACAGTACTGGACAACACAGATACAAACCATTCCCTTCATCACAGACGTTTCTATTAGACAGCACTGGCTTAGGGACCAGGTGATTTATCAAAGACTCACAGCTACCGATAGAGCCAAGATTATGTATTTACACACATACATTTTCTTAGAGTTGAGATTACAAAGTACCTAACACTGTGTATGTTTTCCTATAATATTTTATCTTAAGCATTTACATGTGATTATAAACATTTAAATCTTAATGACTACATAAAAATAAAAGTTTATCAAATGTACTCAACCACTTCCCTTTTATTGTTTCCCAACATTATAAATAACACTTGCAGACCCATGTCTTCATTTTATATTTTTTCCTTTCAATATGTGTAGAACACATGGTCTTGTTACTATTCAAAACAGGAATGTCACTAACAAACAAAACTATCTTAAAGAAGATGTGGCATGATGGAATATTACCCAGTAACAAAAAAGAATAAAACCTTTCCATTTCTGACAACATGGGTATTATGCTAAGTAAAATAAGTCAGACGAAAAAGACAAATATCATATGATTTCACTTATATGTGGAATTGAAAAGCAAAACAAAATAAAAACAGATTCGTAGAAACAAAGACCAACAGGATGGTTACCAGAATGGAGCCGGTAGGGGGCTGGGTGAAAAGAGGAAGGGGAATTTAGTTAATAATATTGTGATGTTTAACATGATTGATTACTAGAACATGATAGATTAACATGATTGATTACTGGGGCGATCACACTTTAAGGTATATTGTACACCTGAAACTAATATAACCAAGATTGTATACCAACTGTACATAAATTTAAAAAATAAATTTTTAAAAAGATCATTTCTTTATAGTTTAAATAACAAACATCTACAATACAAGTGGAATGCTTACTGATTCTGAATTTTCAAGATGACCTTTATTCTTTTTTCCTAGCGAAACACACATTATCTACACTGAGAAATACAACTGACTAAAAGGCAATATAGTGTACTCAACTTTTAAAATACCTATACAATCAATACCTTGCCCTCTCAATGGCTTCTGTCCTGTGGACATTGGAGAGTTGACCCAAGCAAAAGCGATCTCCTCCAGAAGGGTCCACATATCCATCAACAGTAACAATAGGGCAGCTTGACGGAACCTTAAATGTCTCTCCTACTTGAACATCCATTTCAAAGTAAGCGATGGAACACCAATACTCAGGAGCTAGAGGAGACAAATGGGAGCAAACGTCACTCCATAAGGCAAAGCTTTTCCTAAAGTAAAGGCTGAAGGGACAGAAGAGGAATCTGAAAAGCACCCAAAAGAATTTGATAAAATGGCGATGCTTTAAATATCTAGGCTTTTCCTGTCTTCTATTTTTCAGCTCAGTGCCTAGCATTCTTGAAACTCTAGTCATTTTTAAAATCTTGGTTTTGGTTCATACCTCAAAAGACCCAGTCAACTGAGAATTCAAAGAACAAAAGTACTCAGGACAGAAAATAAATTATTTTACTATGGTATTTCATTTCACTGCACATATTTTCTTTCCTTTTTTAATTTTTAAAAAATTGATTTAGAAAGAGGAAGAGAGAGAGAGATAAAGAGAGAGAGAGAGGCACTAATTTGTTGTTCCTCTTATATTTATGCATTCATTGGTTGATTTTTTTAAAAATGTACATTTTATTGATTTTTTACAGAGAGGAAGGGAGAGAGATAGAGAGTTAGAAACATCGATGAGAGAGAAACATCGATCAGCTGCCTCTTGCACATCTCCCACTGGGGATGTGCCTCCAACTAAGGTACATGCCCTTGACCGGAATCGAACCCGGGACCTTTCAGTCTGCAGGCCGACGCTCTATCCATTAAGCCAAACCGGTTTCAGCCATTGGTTGATTCTTGCATGTGCCCTGACAGGGGATCAAACCTGCAGCCATGGTGTATCTGGACAATGATCTAACCACTAAGACAGACTAAACTTTTTTTTTTCTTTTTTTAAAAAATATATTTTATTGATTTTTTTACAGAGGAAGGAAGAGAGATAGAGAGTTAGAAACATTGATGAGCAAGAAACATCGATCAGCCGCCTCCTGCACACCCCCCACTGGGGATGTGCCTGCAGCCAAGGTACATGCCCTTGACAGGAACCGAACAACCTGAGATTTTGTACACTCACCAAGTAAATACAAGTCTACAGAGCATCTAATGCATGCTCATCGCATCCTGTATACTGGAATAAAAAAAGAGAAGATAAATATACTAAAATGAAGGAGGAAAGAACAACATCTGAATCAGAAAGTATGTAAAGCCTCAGTGGACAGAGCATCCGCAGGCCGATGCTCCATCCACTGAGCCAAACCGGTTAGGGCTAAAGTTTTCTTTTTGTTAAACACACTGACTTAAAGACATAGTCCAGGGAATAGTATTGAAAATATCAATCCATAGCATATTTTTCTAGTTCCCTAATTGACTGTAAGGACCCAAGCTAGTCAGCCATTCAGACCAGAGTCAAGGTTAATTACACTCTAACTAGACAGCTGCTATGAGCGGGAATTCTCACTTGTCTCTTGGCTGAAAGGTCATTTGTTGTATCTCTTAGTGAAGTCAAGTCATGTTAACTACTACAATTTTAACACTGAAGATGGATTTAGTGTATTCATTCGAACAACAACAAATGATTTAAAATAATTGTGAATGATTAGAGGAAAAAGGAGGCACTACTTGGTTGGGTTTGTAAAGTTTTCTGCTGATTAACCAATTACTTATATGCACATCAATGTGCTATTTATGAACTCTGATTGGACTAGAACTTGAAGCAATAAAACTTTTAACAATCTGAAAGAATAGAAAAATAGATCTTTTTAACCCCCTCTCAAAAAAATCTTAAAATGAAGTATAGCTGATGCTTAAAATACATTTTTTGAAACCTTGTATTTTATATATCTAGTTGATTCTTTAAATATTGTTAAGGAAGAAAATACTTTCCAATGAAGAATTAATAAAACAGACCATGAAGATACAAAAATTAAAATTTCAAATGTTTTTTCAAACAGATCAAA